CCCTTGGCAGTGGGCCAGCGGTCTTCCTGGCTGCCCAATACCCGGTGGGAGGCCCGCGGGAACCCAGCAGCAAGGCCGAAGATACAGCATCTCTACATTCAGATGAAATGTATATATATATATATATATATATATATATATATGTACATATATGTGTATATATGTATGTGTGCATATATAAATATATACACATACAGGTACATATATGTTCAAGTACAGCGGAATGGAGCCTTATGTGAGACCTATAGCACAGCATGCTGCACCTGCCTTTGTAAATCTCATCACCGTCAGGCCTGATTTTGGTTTCGGCTTTCTCCTCCATCAAGGCCGCGGTACAGAGTATCGTGGGGCCGCTGCCTCAGCGGTGCCATGCAGCTGCTAGTCACTGCTAGTCAATGTCTCAGCAAGAAGTGTCTAGGATGATTAGGGTGTTGGGGATTGCGACAGGAGTCTTCATGTGCGCGGCATAGGAACCCGGCGGCATGCCGTAAGCTAGTGATTACATCCTATGCATTCACGACGATGTAGTACATGTGTCGTGCAGGTCACCCTGCCTTCAAGCATTGCACATGCAACCCACGCCTTCTGCATTGCTGCTGTGCAGCGGAGTACATGCCATCGCTTCGCATTCCACTATAGCACGTTCGATCATAACCTACGTAATGTTTTTTTGTCCGAGCTTTTTTTTCGTATCACTTCGTGTTCTTCAGATTCAGCGCACGACTGTTGAGGCGAGTGGTCGCGTGGACCTTTGCGGAGCGCTTCCCCAACGGCCATTCGGCAACACAAAGAAGCCTTTGACTCTTAAGGCCATATATTCAGGTGTGGATTGAGCGCATTCGAGTTACACGGGTGGCAGCAAGTAGGGTGCCTCAGCCTTGTTTGTCTTGAACCTTTGACATTGCTCGGCAGCTACCTCTGTTCTCCTGATCCGAGCTTGAAGGGTCTTGCTTGCGTGGTGGGGAGGAGGAGGGAGGAGGCGGTCGCTCCGGCACCACGACGGCGAGTACTTCTACGACCACGACTGCCGATGCTACTCCCATTCTGACGGACTGTCCGTGAAACAGCATTCGACCACGGCGAGGACGACGACTACTGCTACCGCTACTACCACTACGACTCACTACGACTATTACGGGTAGCAGCTGCAGTCGTAGTGGTGGTCCTGCTCCCGCTCCTGCTCCCACCTCCCGCTGCTTCTCCACTACTGCCGCTGCTGCTGCTGCTGCTGCTGCTGCTGCTGCTGCTGCTGCTGCTACCACTGTTCAGCTGGTGGTAGTGGTGGTGGCATTGCTGGGGTTGCTGCTACTGCTGTTGCTGCATCGATGTTCGCGTATCGGGCATTAAGAGAATGTGCTCGAAGACAGTTGCGCATGCGCACGCTTGTTCGCCCCTCTGAGGTCGGATCATCGCGAACGTGTGGCCCGACTTGACTTGGTTCGTTTATTCCGATTCCTTTCTATAAATTGCGATGTTCAATACTTGGCCAAAGAGGGCTTTAATATGCTTTAATGGGGTATGTTCTCTTACGTACCTCTGCAAAAACTAGCTTTAAGTCGGAGCATTCTTGGAGTGGCGAATCTGCAGGTCCTGCTCCACACTCTTCATCCACGGGGAGTCCGACAGCCAGGATCCTCGGCCGGCGGAGTTCACTGAACTGATGCCCGCATCCTCCGTGAGTGTCGCGATCATCGGGACAATCGCTTGCTAATATATGCGAATGATGACTATATAGATGAGGATGGTGAGGATGACGGTGGCACTGATGCTGGCGGTCGGCGTCGTTGTCATCCTCGTCGTCCGTCGCTGTCGGTCATCGCCGACGGTTTCTCGAAGCGCGGCTACATGCTTATGAGGCTTGATCCCAGCAGAGCATTCGCTGCGGCTCTTCAAGCGCTGCCCGGAACCCAGACGGCGGGAGTCGCTGCTGTCCGGCTGCACGATATAATGCACACTGACCTCGCTCATTCGTCGAGCTGCGGCACGGGCCGTTCGAAGCCCCAGGCCGTGCACGCAAGCTTTTAGTCACGCCGCCGAAGATGGAGCACAATTCGAATCTCTTCGGCTCGGGACCTGGTGAGTGTTCGCACCGTCCAGCGACGATTGGGCCCGCGCTTTCCGAGGTGATGCATCCTTCCTGGCAGTGCCAGCAATCCACTTCTTCGGATTCCCGGGTGGGCCTCGTCTCCGTCTCCTATCTCCTTGCACAAGGCGGAGGCCGAGGGCCCGTCTTCAAAAAGCCTTCCCTGGCCAGGTTACTACACAGCTTCCCCGCCCGGAGCCGAGCTTGAGCAGCGAGCAGCAGCGGCCTTGGGGCAGCGTGGCCTGCAGAGCTGTGAGCGAGATCGCTCTTCCTGGCAGGCCTCGCTTGCAGGCGCATCTCTTTGAAGATCCCGCCAAGAGAGCGCCGCGGCCTTGGACTTGCTTGTACGCGGGGAACATTGCTGCTCTGATTTCTAGCCCCTCCAGGCGGCTACTCAGAGAGAAGAACAAGCAGGCGACGGCGACCTGCCCTGCCATTCTGTTGCTGGCGCTCCCAAGCCTGCGCAGCCGGCGTCTGCTGCAGGAGCCCCTTTCCTCGCTGACAAAGCCTTCCTGGCTTTGCGCGCGGGTCCCAGCCGATTTTTTTCCCGTGCGCGCATCGCAAACGTGATGTCGGAATTTTGCTCGTAGCAGCTCGAGCTCGGAGAGCTTTTTGCCTCGTCTCTTGAGGACTGCTTGGCCAAAGGCGATGCTCAGCACCTGGATGCCCGGACGCCTGGAAGCTCGGCCCAGGGCGCTGCTGCAGGGGCAGAAGCAGCCGAGGTGACCTTCTGCAGACAGGAAAATTCTGTCGAGGAGAGGGCTTTGTCTGGCCTTCCGCATCCCAGCAACAAAAGCTGATTTGGGGAGGATATCACCATCCGCTTTCACGAGCCTGGGCCCTGCTTCTACGCCGTGACCGCATGTTACGCGCAGAGTGGGCAGCCGAGGGCCTCCGCTCCGGGGGATCCGAGTCAGATCAAAGGCCCGGGCCTAGGGCAGAGTTCTCTGCGTGCTTGTGGAGATGAGTCATTCGACCTTTATAATGTCATCTATGGGTTCAGAAAAAGGAGCCTTTTTTGCAGCAGGAGACCTCGGGGACCTCCAGCCATCGGATGAGCCGCCGGCGAGCGAGAAGGCGCGGCTCTCGGAAGTCGGGGAGCAGGTGCTGCATCGTGTTGGAGCAAGGTGCCGCTGAAGCCGCAAAGTCATCCTGACAGATGCCCGGCTGCATCACTTCGCTTCGGAGCTGTCCCTCTGGACCTCCGCTCTTTCATCCTCACGCCTCAGCTGCAGCAAGCCGCGGCAAGTCGCAGCAAAGGTGCCGCAGACAAGGAGAACGACAAGGCGCGAACGGGGTCCAGGCAAAGGCGGCGAAGAGCAGATCAGTCAGCACTGCTTCTCCTCGAGAGGACGCCGCGCTCTTCCAACAGGAGCGACAGGAGAGGGAGGAGCGTGACGGCGCCGACCCCAGGAGCAAGTCAAGTACAGCTACTGGTAGCGCGTGCGTTTGTTGTGTTATAGCCACCATAATCACACCCCGAAGTCTCTAAGTGATCAACGGAGCGACTTGCAATAATGTTCAGCTTCTTGGCTTTTCTTGCCTTTTGTGTTAGTTTTCAAGCAGCTCTTGGCGTGAAGGAGTGTATTCTCCCATATTGGCGGTATGTTTGGGGAGGACACATTGACATAGTCGCGGTCTACTCAATAGGAGCCGCATGAGCTAGAAAGAAAAACGCTCCTAATTCTCCATGCTTCACAAGGATCAAGTCATTCACCATGTGGCCGAATAAGTCTCAAGAGAAGGATTCAAGATTTTGAAGAGTTCACCCCTCGATTTTCTATGAATGGCATCAGCAGTTTGAATGAGCAGCCGCTCGGTTTTTCTTCTTCAGAAATCTTATTTCCATTCATTAATGCAGTGGCAGAAACTTTACACGTTGTCGATTTACTTCAATTCTTCGCCCCGGACACACCAAAATGAAACGGGACCCTGTATACGTCAACCCTAATTTCTGGAGCGGAGAGAGGACACGGAGAGAACAAGGCGGAGCGCGGAGAGTTTCCGCCCCTACTCGAGCCAGGCCTCGCGGAGTTGAAGGTGGCCGAGGACATCCCCCTGGGGCCCGAGCCGCGTCCAGGGGCCCAGAGACGGGTTTATAGGGCTGTAGCGTCTTAATTAGGGCTTTTGGATGCTTTTGGGGTTTAGGGTCTCCTCTCCTCTCTTCTGTTCCTTCCACGGCGAGGCTCGCCGCCGGAGGACGGGAGCCACGTCGTGATGTCCTATGCCACGTGAATGCTCGAAGCAAATTGGGGTGGGTGCCGGGCACCTTCCTGCAATTATACGATATGAGATTTATAGAACCCGTTTGGATTAAGAAGAAGTTGGTAAACATGTCTTTGCCTGGCACCAGAACGGCTCGCAGAGAGCCGGCCACGGGCGCAGGGCCGGGAATCACCGGCTCAACTCCGGCGCCCAAGAGACACGGGGGAGCTTCGCTCTCTCCCTCTCGCAATCCGGGGGGCCTATCGACTCCCTGAGTGTCACCCGTCCGAGGATTGGTAGTGTGGCATCGTAGCGGTCGTAGCGCTTGCGAAAGCAAGTTTGTGGGCATCTGCGGAGCCACGTGCTAGAAGCGCAGAAGACGCCTAATCAAGTTCATCTGAATCTGCTCCGAGATGTGCCCGCGAGTTGCCGGTGCGGCCGCAGCCAGTGCCATGTGGAGCAAAAATCCGGCTCTTCTACAAGGAAGGCTTTGAGTACATTCTTCCGGAAGCGGTTAGAAGTCTCGATGGTGTCGAAAGGTTCGTTCATGTTCGTGCTTTCTCGCCATCACGATAGAAGCAGCTGCTGGGAAAGGGATGGGTTCGTTGAATGGCAACTCCATGTGCGCAATCGGGTGCAGTTGCATCAAAACGCCGCAGCAACAGAGCTCTGCTGGGCGCGCCGTAGCTACTCGTAGCGTCTCGTAGCAATCATGCCCTCGCTGTTTAAAGAAGCAGTCCAGTTGCCTGGGCCCCGGAGCGTTGGGCTGGGTACAACGCACAGTTTTGCTTCGCCCTGAAAGCCTTTCAGCTGTGACATCCGCAGGGTCACAGAGAGAGAGTGAAAGAGAGAGAGAGAGAGAGAGAGATAGACAGCTGTCGGGCGCAGAGCCAGCGTGAAAGAAAGAAAAAGACTTGCGCGAAAGAAAGAGAGGTAGAAATTTCCGGCAAACTGCCGCGAGGCCAAACGGCCCGTTGCAGAGCAAGCCTTTGGAGCTGCTGCAAGCCTATGAGGCGGGGCAGCGCTCGCAAGCACGGGACTCGGATTCACCGGCCTGCTCCTGCCCTTGCTTGAAGTGCTTTCGTCGTAAGGTCTTCCTTTGGCTGCTTTCCGTGGCCGTGTTTGCCGCAGCGGCGGCCCGCGACTTGCAGAGACCGCCCCAGCCTTTGCGCGACGGAAAGGGATGTGCAGCACCAGGCCCTTGTGCTTTGGCTCCGCCGCGGCCGGGATGGGGTCCGTGGCCCGTCGCAGGCCGTGCCATGACGCTACGGGACGGGGTGGGGAGCTTCTTCACATCAAACTCAGGTGGAGGTAGACCTGGAGGCGGGCGTCGAGCCGTTGCAGGGCCTCGACAACGTCCCGAATCTCCCGCCCGGCTTGACGGCACCGCCCCCGGGCAAGTAGCATCAAGCACTTCGAGCCATCGAGCAATCATGAACAGGGTGGGGAGCTTCGTCACACGTTTCACATCAAACTCAGGCGGAAGTGGACCTGGAGGCGGGTCGCGACAGCGATGAGGAGGAAGTAGCATCAAGCTCTGAAGTGAAGTGCGAAAGCCCCCGAGCAAAACGGAAATGCACCGAAGGATCCAACTGCACGGCTCAGCGGCGAGGAGGCCGAGGAGGACCTGGAGCCTTCCGAGGCTGCGCAGCCGCCACGTGATTTTATGTAATTTCTGACGAGCGTTTCGTCAGCGATGGCTCAGGCAGCTGAGGCTGAAGCGCCACCCGGCCTGGGCTTCTGCATGCTGCCGCCCTTGGCGTTGGGCACCTGGTTCATCTTGATACCACTGCTGCATGAAACACGCTGACTGCAGTAGTTAGCAGTCTTTAGCAAGCACAATCATCAGTCACCGCCCCCCTCGTCAGCATCGTCGCCATCGTCAGCATCATCCGCGCAAGCCCGCTTGTCAACAACGCAAGAGTGAGGAAGGGCTGGCAGCGACTACAGTATTCATGGAAGGCCACGATAGCAGAAACCCGGTGAAAGAGTGGGATTAGAGCAAGCTACGACGGCCCAAGCCCTGAGACCGACGGTTGGTGGCAGCGCGAACATGAGCAAGACACACCCTGCTGTAATCCCTAACGTGCAACACAAACGACAATTGAACGTGCGGATTGTCAGAGTCCTTCTCGAGCATCGGTGCAAATGTAGGACGCACTACTGTCAACATGCCAGAGGATGCACTGTCTCAATCGGGACGCTGCGGGGGGAACCACCACTGCCTCTGACCCCTGCAGTAGCAGTAGCAGTACCAGTAGTGCTCCTCGCAGTGCTCCTCGCAGTGGTGCTGGGGTATGCTACAGTTGGTTGCTCTCTGGATTCCGGAGCTTCAGAATTGCTCTGTGTCGGTAAGGGCACCGGCGTCCTCGGCAGCCCCAGAGAACCAGCCGGGCACCCAGGCAGAAGCAGCACTGACGCACCTGACCTGACTCCCGGTGTTTCACTTCCCCATGTGCGAGGGATTCACTTCTCTTCTCATGGCTTCGGACATCCGGTGTGGCGAACGATTTTGACTGTTCAGCAACCCGAAACCTCAACCTGTCAGACTGGATACCATCAACTCACCATGCCCTCTGGAAGCTATCATGTCACTTTATCGTTTTTCGGATTGTCTTGCTACTGGACAAACACCTAACTCTCCAAACCCAGAACCCGAGATGATGCCCCATCAAGGCATAGTACCGAAAACGCAACATCTCCATCTTCACCACCTCCACTGCCAGGTTGCACCTTCTAGTTCCTGAATCCCAGAAATCCTGGCTGTGAGAGTTCGGGAAGACTGTCCAAACACAGACACACTCGGTGGTCGACGACTTTCCGATGATTCAGCATGGTGGCAGCTCTGCATCCGGTTTCTCTCCAGATGTCGAGTGTAGTATCGAAGATAACGGGACAGGCAGGAGCCAACAGACACATATTATGTTTGCCACAGATCATGGCGGGTGTAGGATCTGTGCATCGAGGCCGCCTTGGACGACGGCAGGCCTTCCAGAGGCCACCCCTGAGGTTCTTCAGTCGTTCAGTTTTGCAGTCGGATTTAATCATCCGATCTTCGGTGCAGGGACCGTCGGATTTGGTGAGGGAGGCCGTCCAGTTGGCAGTGAGCTCGGCACGAGTGATAATGACTCTGTAGCATGATCTCACCCACGTCTTGGCTGGACGGACTCAGGCCCGGCTGCCATACTCGCCGGAACTCATTGAGCAGGGAACCCAAGAAGATACACCACTGCGTTCGCATCGTCCGAGCTGTGTTTGGGGGGCTTGCATTTGTCAGGTACGGCCGGCACCTGGGGATCGACCCCATCGCCCACAGCGATCTTCTGTGGATCGCTGTGGAGGCACATCGCAAGAGTCACGTTGACCATCATCGGATTGGCCCCAGAGTGGAGGCCCTGAAAGCACCGCTTCCCTTCGATTGGACGGTGCACTTCGACCCAAGCGTCGGCATCTCGAAGCTTCCTGTTTACAGACTTGTCATCGCCAACAAGTCCATGCACCAAGGGCAAGGCTTTCTACTATCATGCAACGACGGGAGTGTCCTCGTGGCCTGTCCCCGAGATTGTGTTGATTGGTTGACCAACAATCATGGTTGTTCGCTCAGGACCCATCCGATGGAGTATCTGTTCCGCCACACCTACAAGAACATGCTCAACGAGGCTGGCGTGCAGTGAGAGCTGGGCCCGAGGCTCAGTTCCGAATAGCAGCAGTCGTGCAAGAAATGTTCACGGACACCACAACAGCTGCAAGCATGCATCCCGAACCTGTCATATCATACATGTGGACCAGTTTGTGTTGAGCACTGCGAAAAGTTCAAACAACATCGCGAAGATGGTTTGTGAGGTGGACCATACCCCTTGCCGGAGTGCTGCATGTTGCCACCGCTGCACGCAAGTTGTGCGTTCATGATGTGTTCCCTTTTGGTTATGCATGGTGTCATCGCGTTTGCGACGGTACCATCCGCTTCACCACCGTCTTCGTTCGAAAACTGGCATCGTCGAGTCGCACGGAGAGTTCGCGAACAGTTTTTGGACGTAGGTTTTGAGCGTTTGTTGTGTGCAGCGATGAGCGGTCTTGCCTGAACACAAATAAGGCCTTAAATAGGGTCGTCTGGTTCTTCAGTTTGTGTGGAGACCAACATGGAAGTTTGCGGCAACATGCTGTTTCGTCGACAGGGTTTGTGGTATGTTGTGCTGTACTGGTGCTGTAGTGAACTGTAGTGCGCCACATGGTGTCAAACACATAGGGGATATACCAGCGGCACAGCTACCGCACGTACTTGCACAAATTTTGCGGCTGTTGTCAGAAGAGAACAACCCAGATCACCTGGACATGAAAAACGAAGGTTCGGACTCTCGGGCGTTTGTTGTCAGATTTAAGTGTTCAATCGCGCGGTGTACCGGTAGCTTGAAGGTCAGCATTCTGAGTCCTCCCAAAGATCCCGAAGACCAAGGTTGTTTGCGCAGGGAAGTTCTGCCTCGTCTTCACGATCCAGTTCGTGGCGGAGCTTGAGATCAAGGGTACTTTGACGGGCACCATCGACACCTCGGCGGCTCTAGACTTCGAAATCGAGGGCAAGGTAACGGTCAACAAAGACGGCAAGGCCACCTCGCACTTCAAGACCATTGGCATCAAGCATCGGGAGATTTTTGCCGTCGGCGCGAGTGCATCCGCTTCCGTTCGTGTCGGCATGGGGCCCGTCTTCACTGTCTGGCCCGTGCCGGGCATTCCCATCAACTTCAACGCCATGATGAATGCGGAGGCCAAAGCTCTTGGCACGATAGAGTACAACGTCGACCCCAGTCTGCTCCAGGAGGACTCCGGAAAGCACGTGAGCAAGGCCCAGGAGGAGAAGGACAAGCAGTTGGATGATGTGAGCGACTTCATGAATGCCACCAGCAATGCGCTCGGACTCTGTGGTGCAGCGGTGCTGACAACCTTCGCCGACATCGACATTACCAGCTTCGCCCTGCCGAGCGGCTTCCGAGACGTGCGAAGGGTGCGGAAGCGCTGGTCGAGCTGATCGCCGGTCCGGAAAAGTGCGTCACGGGCACGAACACGATTTCAGACACCGTCAACTCCGCGGCCAACGAGGCATCCAGCAAACTCACGGGCCTCGTCCCGGATCTTCATCTGGACATGACACTGAAGTCCATCCAACTGTTGAAACCCCAGAAACTGTGGTGCAAGGAAGTCTACAAGACGCCAGGTTTCGATCAGGCTCCTTGTGCGGCCACCTTGGGATGCAAGTTTGCAGGCCGTCCACCCTCGCAGGATGTCGAGGCGCCACCACCGGAGCAGGTCACGAACACCTTGTCCGCCACCGCCAGTGCACCGTCGTGCCCGACTGTGGAAGGTTCCGTGAAGATGGGAGATCGGTTCATTCAGGTTGGCAGCTTTCGCCTGTGTGCTGCTGATGACGACCACTTCTCCGTCCAGCACGAGTCCGGCTTCACCGCACAGATCTACAAGAGCGATGGCACAACGCATTGCGCAAACCATCGGCCTCGGAGGGATTTTGGCACCTGGCACAGGGACGTCGGACCTGCTCATCCTTCTCGTGGGATCTCCTTTGGCTTCCAGTACATCCAAATTGGTAAGTTTCGCCTCGGTGCCATCGACGACAGGCATTTGTCGCCTTCGCATGAAAACGGCAACACAATCATGATCTTCCGCCATGACAGGAAGCGTTTTCCCGGGCCAAGGAGTGATTGGGGTGCCTGGGACCGTAGTGAGGGTGCACCATTCGGCGTGGCTTTTGGTGACAGATTCATCCAAATCGGCAAGTTCCGAAACGGCTGCCAAGACTACAAGCATTTGGTTTTGACCCACACCTCGAACACGGTGATCCAGCTCTACCGAGATGATGGCACGGAGCATCCCGGCGTCGGCAACCACTGGAGCTTTTCAGTAAATCGACGTGGACCGGCGCCGTGGACCTGCAAAGACATTTCGGAAGTGGCCTATGGCGCTTGCGATGCCGACTGGGGTGCCTTCGGAGATAGGTTCATCCAGCTGGGAGATTTCAGGCTGGCGGCGATAGATTCTACACACTTCTCAGTGTGCCACAGAAGCGGAGTGGCCTCCATGATCTATCGCGGGGATGGAACCCTGCACGGGGGCCCGCGGACGGACTACTATTCGTGGAACAGGGCTGTCGGCTTTCCTCACGGCATCACTTTCGGTCCGGGTTTCATCCAACTGGGCAATTTCAGGCTCGGCGCCATCGACGACGGTCACCTCAGCATTGCGCATGTGAGTGGAAAGACCAGCCAGATCTGCCGGTCGGACGACACTCTCCACCCCGGACCCCGCACTGATTGGACCGCGTGGGGGCACTTCTCACCTTCGGGGACCGGTTCCTGCAGCTCGGCAAGTTCCCAATTGGAGCCCACGATGAGGAGCACTTGGTCGTCACTCACAAAGACGGCGTGGCGATGCAGACATTCCACAGAAATGGGAAGAGGTATGATTTGCCCGGCCACTGGTCGACCGACGTTAACCGTCGCTACCCGCAGTGGCACTGTGGCGGAATCCAGGACATCATGGGCACTTGCCCTGGTCTCGCCGCAGGAGACGACTTCCTGATGCTGGGAGACTGGCGCCTGGCGGCCCACGACAACGTCCACTTCACTATTTGCCACCGCGCCGGGCAGACGCCGATACTCTACAGGGCGGACAACGAGCACTTCGGGGGACCTCGAACGGGTTGGAGTAGCTGGAATAGCCAGATCGCCGAGATGAAGGACGCCAACCACAGGATCCGGTTCGGCGATCGCTTCATCCAGTTCGGCAACCACTGGCGTTTGGGCGAGTG